CCACTACTGATGAAATGGGAGCATCTTGTACATTCTGAGTTATTCCATCTGCTGAGTATAAACGAATCAGGAAAATCAATGCTATAAAGACTCACCATGGAAAACAATTTACTCTAGTATAAATACTGTTGCCTATACGAACATACAAGTGGTTCACAGGGACCTGTTGCTTCAGTTTCGATTAGACCTGTAGACAGACACATCTTCAAAATAGCCAAGGGGAATTCAAAAAATTCGTTAAACATTCTTATTTATTGCATTATTGATCGGAGTGTTTACTCTTTATAGAAAATTTCTCAAGCGGGGGAGAGGGGGGTACGAGTAAGAAACTTGGCCATGAAGAGTAAATGATATCAGACAATTGGAGGTCATCCAATAGTGATTTGTGAAGTTCACCTTGACAGAGGACTGGCGTAGCAAATTGTCAAACGAAACCATTAGAAGTCGTCTGTATATCGATGAGCATAGAGCATCACCTCCGCAAAGATACTTCTACTAATATCGTCCTGGCACTGAGCTCCGTGTCCAGTTTGCCGTCGCCAATAAGCAAGGTAAGTAAAAACTTCGATGAACACTGTATTGGAAGAACCGGGGCAACTTGACCTTCCAATGGTGTACCGCACTCGTCAGCGGAAGGTAAAAAAACTGGAGCAACAATATATGTAAGAAGCCTGTAGACATCTAACAGGCATGAACAAAGGAGATTAGAGACATTTATTTACTAAGCCAGTTCATCCCCTTCTACCGAAGAGCCAGAGTTAAACAAGTAATGCATTTCCAGAAAGAAGGGACGTGGTCAATTGAAGGGTTGTCAATGAACACAGAAGTGATAAAATCAGGTTTCGATATCATGAGTCAAACACACAAGGTGATTTGATGATGGCATTATTTGTACAAACATCGGTCAGACGTTATTTATTCTTTAAAAAGGACAAATAGGCTATCATTCATCATTGTTAGAGTAATGAAATCATGTAATCGATCCAAACTACACTCACGGTTAGACATTGGACGAACAGGGCCGGTCCAAGATTTATGTCCATCAAATTGATTTGTGGCACGTACTGAAATGTTGTAAGGTCTCTGTTCAACAAGCCCTGTAAGAGAAGGGATACATGTAGATGGTAACTTAACCGCTCCGGGTATTTCATCTCAAGCAGGAAAAAAACAACTTTCGTCTTTAGTTACTTACCACAATATGAGTAGTAATTATAAGGTCTTGAAAAATCTGGTCGGACGCAAGGACCTTTGCCACGGTCGGGATATGGAGTTGGGTAAGGATAGAGATTGACAATACCATCCTGAGCTGTCTCAACCAAAGGTATGGCCTCTAAACAGTAGCTTCTCGTGTGGCCTTGCGGTTTACGAGGATGAGACCAGGATACCATGACGCAGCTACCATTGAGTGCGTTGGCCTTAATGTGTTCTGTAGAAAAAAATAAAGTTATGTAGAAAAGAGAACACAATGTAGGCGAACATATGTTTTCGGTGAATTCCTTTTCAAGCCATTACAATCACATTTATATGAAACAAGTTCGATAAGTTCAAACACAAAGGTGAATGACTCATGTGTTCGGCAATGAGCCCAAGAGAACTCAAAATTTGTTGTGCACAGTTTCGATCACATAACCAAAGTGATTACATCATGGTCGTATGAACAAGCAATTGACTCTTCCCTTGGCCAGGGGATTTCAGAGCTTGAATCAGTTTGCGTTGTGCGCACAGCTCAGGTTTCATGAGTCGGATGCTAATCGCCTCTGCGGTCGCTAACGTACGAAACCGTACTGCTCTTGAGGGGTGTGGTGAGACTCGATAGATGATTGTAAATGCTGAGTGCATGTCAACCAAGTGATCCGTCTCTACCAGATGAGCAACGATCGAGCTGGACACAGTTCCACCCCCACCCTGTGTGAGCCAGCGTGGATAAAAAAGATGGAGACCAAACATAAGGTGCACAGTTTAATAAAGTGATATGTCACCTATGTTACAAACGTACTATCATATATACTGCCGTTAGGGAAAAGCAGATTTTCCCCGATGAAAGTGATAACTTACTTTTTATTTCCCCTATTTTCCTAATTATTTTTAGAAAATATGAATTTCTGAATTTGTGCACCGAAAAACCTCAGTCCACACCACCTTCCTGATTGGCCGGTTCTTACAGAACCGTGTACCTCCAAACAGATTTTCAAGGTCATTTATGCTCGGTCCCGAAACTATATATATCAACCGATGAGTTGTCCACAGCCATCGCCTTTCGGGTCGAGCCAAACAAACAACCTCACCTGAAGACCTGTCTTCCGTCTCCTCTCTGGTTGGGTTCCAGAATCGTACTACTCTCGTGGGTCGTTCTTCCGATTCTCTTGGGAATTGCGCTGGGTGTATTTGTGTTGTACTCATTCGACCACTGGGTCGTTACGTTTCCTGCTCACGTGTTCTTCGGCTCACGGTCCACGCTAGTCCGATCGTATCGTTATTCGATACGTTACAACACCAGTCCCTAATCCTGTATGATGAATATTCATACTATCTGCAAACTTTCGGCGCTAATCTCACAGCACCTCATCTCGCTAAAACAAAGATGCATAACTTAACTTGACTTGTTCTAAGGTAAATATTAAAACCTTAGGTTCATTTGTGCTACAATGTTACAATCTTATAAAACCATATTCTGTCGGTAAAATCAATGTGAAATGACATAATTCATTCTAGAAAGTGTAAAATACATATCGAAAAATCGTCACCGCCTCCTCCCCCTCCTCCTCCTCGTCCTCGTCCTGCTCTCAATGCGAACATTGATCCCGGTCGCAATCATGACCAATCGAATAATTACAGATTTATGGCTATCTATCATACTAGCTCCAAAATCTACGTACTACTCACGAAGCTATAATGAAAAATAAGCGATCAATAACTTATTTATTGACCTAAATTTCATGTAAATTATTACTGTTTTTATTCAATGCTACCTATACAAAATATTAGTTTATTGAGCCGGAGACCACCAATACGTTCCGTTTGCATCCGAGTGTCACCGTACTCCAGTTTTCCGGACTAATTACCAAGGTCGATGAATAGTTGAAGATTCCGAATGCACTGTCTCCGATATGAATGTCTTGTGCAAGGGCGGTGGAATCCGCATCTGAAGTAGTAGTGCACCTCCCGAGAGGTAGAGTTAGTTAAACGTGGACTATGGTAAACATTGCAATCAAAATGTGGAGCGATTCCTTTTAATTCGTTCATCGCAGCGGAAACAGCCCCGTGAAGCGTGAAGGCACAAGATAGGGTAGCTTCTGTAGGAGGCCTAAGAACTGCACTATATATATATATATATATATATATATATATATATATATATACACTCGTGTATCCACGCGTAAACGTGGGGAAAAAGGAAAGGAGTATCCTCATGCATGGTCGATTGAACCTCACTGAGTATGTCCTACCTATTTTCATACAATCCACCATCCATTCACTAAGTGGGCTGTGATGGGTATGAAGACACAAGTAGGTACTAGTAATATGACACTCACTGTACCCTGATCCATTTTATTCCCATGATTGAAATCGATCGGGGCTGTTCAACTGGCCTCGGTGTTTTTCTGTCTTTCATAAACCGGCACAACAAAACCGCTTGGAGACTAGTGATGCTGCTGCTGCT